AACCCCAGAGACTACCGTGAGACTTCGTAAAACTCCCTGGAGTGCCCAACCCCACAGACTAGCGTGTCTCGCTGGAGTGCCCAACCCCACAGCCTAGCGTGAGACTCCCTGGAGTGCCCAACCCCACAGACTAGCGTGAGACTCCCTGGAGTGCCCAACCCCACAGACTACCGTGAGGGTGGGGATGTTCGAAGTAGAATAATTGATTGTCGTATTTTGTTGCAGACTTTCTGTTCTTGTTGTGCTCTGAAGTCCTACTTCATTCCAGGCACGACTTCACAGAGGGCGGTGGACCGCCCAATATGTCCTCTACAGATGCACTCGAACTGCAAAGACAGCTGGACAATCGTGCAAGCGAAGCATGTTACCAGCATAGCCAAGGTGCAGGCTGTCTCGAAGTCGCCGGGAAAGTTAGGAGCGGCAGAGGCACCAGCGCACAGCGCCCAGTCTCACGCCAGTCCTGCAGGAGCGGCTGCCCGAAGCCTATAGGTCCATATAAGCGGTGGGGCAGCAGCATGCGGTGTCGTTTTTGCACACAGCAACGCGCAGGATTCGGCGACACCACTGGGCCCTGGGCCTAGTCTGTATACAGAATACAGCGTGCTCGAACTGAGCCAGTTTACGGCGCACTACGTCCAGGAATGTGCCACTGGCTGAGCCGTGGATGTAAGCCTAGCAGGCTGCGGCCGCGTGGCAACTGGCACGAGGAATTATATGTACTAGGCAGGAATGCCCAGGAACGGTCCGGGAAGGCTGTAGCAGCATCCTCATCATTGCTACAGCCTCCATCGAATTTATGCAGAAAATGTATGATACGTAGCCTGCTAGCAAGAGAGCAAATCCTGCAAAGGCTCGGGAATGGCAAGTCAGGCCAGACTTGGCGAAGGACTTCATGAGCTTTGTTCTCGGCAAGGCCGACTTGCTGTCGGCTGGCGCTGGGCCAGCCACGAGCGCAGAAGCTGGTTTGCCACATTCTTGGCGTTGAAGCTGCCGTGCTGGGAGAGGCGGGTGACCTGTCGGCCGATGGTCGTTCCATGGGCCTGACAGGGTAGACCGCCGAAAACTAAACGGACAAGAGCTTCACTCACCCCGCTCCTCCTCGAGCGTGACGGCGCCATGCACCACCTTCGACACCGCAGCGAACTCCTCCTGCCAAGTCTTTGCCTGCAGGACAAGAGCAAGCTGCCGCGCCACTCACGGAACGGAAGCTTGCAGAGCGTATGACAATGATTTGGCCTGGGCGAGCTCTGCATTCATCTGCCCCAAGACGTCAGCCCGAGTGGGCTCCGGCGGAGGCTCCGACTTCTTGGTGGGCGTGCTTCCCAAGGCCTCCTGAGCCTTACGCTTCTTCTCGGCGTTTTGCTGTCGCTTCCTGTAGCGAGCACTGGCCTCATGGGCCAGAGATGCTAGCGTGACCCAAGCAGCTGCTGCAGGCGGCTTGGCACGGGACTGCTGCGACCTACGCGCAGAAAGCAAGTTGGCCTGCTGAGTGACGCCTCTGCGCGTCTGCTCGACCAATGGTTTGAAAGCATCCGACGGGTGTCCCTCCAAGTAGAGAGCAAGTGCGCAGTGCACGCACTGTCCGCGCGTCTGGTCATAGAAACAAGAGCACCGAACACTACTCAAACTGGGCGGGTTCTGCTCTGGACGCAATACGCAGACCACGGCGAAGCTGAGCAGGATCTCCCGAAGACCTCTGCACGTCGCAACCGCCAGAACACAGCAGCACAAGTGGGCGCATCGGCTCAGATGCAGCTGGGGGACCAGTGATGCTGAGTCGGCCCGCTTCCTTATGCCACAGACCATCGCACTGCGACTGCGACAGCTTTTCCTTGACCTCACAGAGCATGTATTCGGGCCGCTGAAGTGGAAATGGACATCCAAAACCGTCATGTAAATTTACTTGACGCCCCCCCACCACCTAACCCAACATGCTCGCGCAGAAGCTTCTGCAGAGTATGCATGCTGCACTAGAAGCCAGGAGACGGTGGAGACGCAGGTGTCATCGGCGCACTTGAGGATATCGCAGAGACACTGAGCCACGTCCAGCGGAATTTCCATCGCCGCCTGGGACAAGGGCACGACATAGATGCGTGCTACGTCGTTGAGCTCAGCAATGTCGCACCGCAGACACGCGAAGTTCCCGGGCGCGTAGAGCAGGTACGTGCCAACCGAAGGCAAGCGAATCTGCTGCGAGCCTTCCTCGGTCCGCAGCAGCATGCGCTCACACCAGATGACATCCCCGGAGACGAGGCGCTGGAGGATGTCGTCGAACTGCACCGAGATAGGCTGCGATCTTGCAGTAGAGCAGGCACAACACGCTTGAATTGATGCCAACACGGCCTGGAGCGCTTTGTCCATTGGCAGCACTCTTGTGTCCGGCGCCCCCTTCTTCACATCAGCCCAGAAGCTTTCCATGCACTGCGACACGGAGCAGGTGGTAAAGCCACGCCGCGCCATCTTAGTCTGCGATTGCAAGTAATCCCTGTTGCTCAGAGAGGAGACGCTAAGCCAATCGGCCTCCCACATGCCACGACCCCGTGCTTCGCGCAAGAGAGAAGTCTGCATATACTGCGGCAAGTCCAACTCCCCCTGCTCCACCAACCGTGCCATAACAGCATCGAGGAACAGAGACGCCAGCGGCGGGTTCCACATCAGGGCGGACGCAGTGAACCAGATCTGGCTTTGAAGCCACTTGCGCAAATCCACACTGCCACATCCACAGTCGAGCACGTTCTTCATGACATGCCGGACGTCGCGCATCAGCTGGAGCCGTGGCCACACCTGTTTGGCAGCGTCCATGCTCCCCGGAGCTCCATCTGCGTGAAGTTGGTGTAGCAAGGTGCCCAGGTCAAGGCTGAGCTCGGCTTCGGCTACTTTCGCCATGGTCTCCAGAACAGGTTTCACGTTGGTCGATTTCTCTGTGGGGATGACGGCAAAGAAGACTGGTAACAAAGTCGTGCGCGGTTGCTCCTTGGTCCGCCCATCCCAGTGCAACGCAGCAAACGCCAAGCAATGGAGCGCCCAGTCCGGACCAAACAGCTTGTACCTTGCGGCCGCAAGACAGTTACATATATAGAGGCTCTGGGCAGAAGGGTAAATGGCGCAACTGACTCTCGGCTTTTAACAAGCGAGCACAAAGAGTGGACAAGAAACGTGGAGTCCATGGTGGCATACACACCTTCACCTTCACCCTCGGCGGCCAAGACAGCAAACTCCGCGGCTCGACGAAGAAGCGCAGGACAACTGAAGACACAGTGGCCCCGGTCGGAGTCTGCCTCCCAAGCGCTCCACTTCCAAGCAGCAGCCTCAGAAGAGTTCAGATCGAAGGGCACGAACGCAGCAGATCGAATGAACGTCTTCCATTGGCCAAGCCGGTAGTCTGCACAGGAGCCAGTGCCCTTGTCAGCTTGCAAATGCTGCTTCCTGGCACTACGCAGCGCCCCCATGGTTGGCCACTCTTCCTTTGGAACTCCGTCGCGAATCAAATTCGTCATCGCACGGAGTGGTGGGACATCTGCACTGGCCTTGGCCCTGGCCGCCTGCTGGCACGTCTGCCCATACTTGGCCTTCGCCTTGTCGCCATGCTTGCCGCGCGTATGCACAGCATGGCCCTCGCTGGAGAACTCATGCCGCCACGAGAAAGTACACTTGGTCTCCGCGGTGCAGTAACTGTAGAGAACCTGGCTGCAACCTGGCGCAGACGTGCCCGGCTTGATATTGGCCCGGATACTGCGACTCCTCTGCCAGTCCTCCACGAGCGCACGGCATGCCTGCTGGCTGTTCAGCACAATGGCATCCCAACCCTCTGCATCTGCAGAAGGCTGCTGGATCATCACCCAATCGGATTTGGGGGCCATGTTGTGAACCAGACCCCACTGCTGCGTGGACGTGTCCCCGCACAGCCTACCTGGGC